CACACATAGCTCAGTGTCGACATTAAGGCGAACATAAATCTAGTCAACCGTGCACAGGGAGATCCCACGGTACACACCAAAATACCGGAGGGACACGAACCCTTTTTCTATAGGACATGCATAATGAGACGAAATTCGAGAACATTCACGAGTCGAGTAATAAGCCTTTGTTTCGCTTTAATGAATTTCCAGTCAAATTGATGTCATCTAAATTTGTTATGGCCCCGATACTGAGAATAATTCCTACGTCTGGTGGAAAAAAAATGAATCATACGAGAAAAAAAAGTCAGGCATTGCTTTTTACAGTGACATTGATGAAGTTGTAGACAGTTTTTTGTTATCTCTCTTTTGACTAATTTACTTTTAATGCCATGACCTATGATTGTTTTTGTTTCGGTATTGATTCAGAACAACAACAAAAAGTCGTCAAACATAATCACAGAGTCAGACACAAACTCATTAAATGGCGATAAAATTAAACCGAAATAAGATATTCGAGAGATTCGAAAGATTCATGCTTTCATCTTGTAATCATTTAAAAACGTTTGACAGAAATGAAATTTTCCATCGAAATTGAAGTGGAGTGCGTTATTGGTAATGAGGTTAACCAGACGATGAGGACAAAAACGAATGTAAGAAAATATGAATAAATGAATAATTTAATGAAAAATAAAACGTGGAAGCGCGAGCATGTGTAAACCAACTTGTTTTGTAAATCTGTATTCGTAAAAATTGGTAGCACTTATCGTAATTGTGTGGCATTTATGTAATCTTCCAACCTAAATTTCATTTGATGTTCCGCTTGGCTTTGTTATCAAGCGTGAGAAAACTTGCTGAATGCCGAGAGCTCATTTCGTGTATATCTCCATCCACATTCAGCTGTGTTTGTTTGACATTGTGTAGAGCATACGTGAGTATCTGAGCAAAGACTGAGCGAACAGGGCGAACATTTCCAAGAAATGAACACAGTTTTCGTTTTTAATTCAAAGTTGCCGCAAACGCAACAAAAAATTGTACGAAAAAACGCGAAGTAAAACACACAAAAGCGAATGAAATTTTTGGTATGAACGAACATATTTTACAAACACAGTGCACATATTTACCATGGCGGAGAAAATGAAGCAGCTTCTTAAAATCATACAAGAACTGTTTCAAATGCGAAAAACGTGAATCGCATGGATGCGTGTGAATGAATCGCGACCGACTGTAATGTCATTTATAGAGTAAAAGAACAATTTGCGTGTGCTGTTTTTTTTCTTCTTTGTCAAACCGAATGCTTTTGAGCAAAAATGAATTCAAGTGAATACACTATTATCGAAATGCGCCACCTCATGCTCGCTCTCAATAATTTTTATGATGTAGAAAGATGCAAAAGCGAATTGAGGGATTCAAATAAAAAGAAAAAATTATTTAAAGTAGATATGCCATTGAAATTCATGTGCATTCTACGTTGGTACGTTTGCGATATATTCATATTTTTTTCATTCATCTCGTTTCTTTTATTTTCATTCGTTTTTCCCATTTTTATTGAGGGCATGCAGCAATAAAAGAAATGAGACGCAGTGTATTTGTGTGATGGAGCACGGTACTTAGACACAAAAAGAAGATTCTCTCGATCATCAAAATAAAAATAAAATCATTTTCATTTGATTGCACGTAATGCAAAATGTTATGTATGTATATTATTATTCGGATTACAGTTCACCACTCGCTGACGTCTGTGAAAATGCTGAAGCTCTCACTTGAAGCTCGCTGTGCTGGAACGTGTGTACTGATAAAGCAAGATTTGGTGATGGCAGTGTGGTTGTTGTTGTTGACGGTTGTTTTTATACACAAGCAGTGCTTCTACAGTGCTTTTGAATTGAATAACGTTAACTGCGTTTGAGATTTCGGAGTATCTGTTTTTTTTTTCTGTCTGCTATCCACTTTTTCGGGGGCGATTTTATCCGCTCTACTCTAAATTTTATAGATTTAACTTCATAATCCATTGACTTGGAGTGATGCATTATTATGTGATGTTAAAAAAAAAATGACGAGAAATACAACCCTCAATCTACCAAGCAATCAATGGTGGAATGAAGCACATAAAATTTCTTAGCTGACATCAAGATTGAAACCGTTGATCCAGCGATGTGGTGCAAATCACACACATAAAATGAAAAGAATTTGGTGAATAACGCCATTCAGATAGGAAAAGCTTCATCGAGCTTCTTCAATTGAGCATTCAGCGAAGACGGCGAGAAGACGAAGACGAAGAAGAAGAAAAAGAAACACAAACACAACATTTGTTCAATTGACCAAATACAAATGGCATTTCGTGCTCAGTTCTTCGGAATCTTTCGTAATGAAATTATCCTGTCAACAAAATGATTTACACGCTAATTCATCATGTTTATTCCGAGAGACTTTTATTGCATAAAATAAAGTTAACGACTTAATCAAGACTGATGTTTTAGCAATTTTCTACACAAATGTATTTCGTCGTTGCCGCAAATTCGTAATTTTATGAAATAAAAAACGAAGCGAAAACTTGCAGGATAAGCAATATTTTGCATGGCATTGCCGTCGTTCAATTTGAATTTTCTATTTGATTACTGTTTTATATCGAAATTAACATACCACACATTATGCGATGTCGGGCGGGGTGTAACAAAAGTCATTTACTACTTTCAGTCAAGCGGTCGTTGTATATAGTTTGAGGCGCAATTCAAAATGAATTCGTTTGTTTGTCAAAATAGAGAGCAATCTGCTAATGCTGTGTAATGGTAAGACTTAAGGCCTAAGGTCATGGTCATATTCGCTAAGGCGAATAGAGCAATACGCCTTTCAGCACATCATCAAATGTAGGATCGTTCGTTCAAATGCCGAAATTAATGTGAGGAACATACACATTCCTGTTACATATGTTTATTTCTATTTAAGTGATTAGAATTGAAATGTCCATAAGTAAAATATTGCGGGTACGTGTTGTGTTGTTGACTCGACCTCGTTGCGGCCGAATATGCGTTGACATGATCATTTTTGTTGGCAGCTCTGGGCGTTCGAACATTCTATTTAGCGTAAGTGGACGGAACAATTATTCAACCGTTGAGCCGTTCGAACATCTAAGAAAATACCAAAGAATGACCATAATTAGATTCTTTTTGTTCGGTTGGTTCGCCCCTACAAATTCCAATTGTTGTCTGCATGAACCATTTGATAAATAGACGAACGTAAATTAAAACATAAGCTCATGAAATTAATGACAAGACAAAAACGGAAGAAAATTATCCCGAATTGTTCTCCGAACACTTTCGAGAGTGAGAGATAAACAGAACGAATTCATAAGCTTTTTTCACGTATGCAATGTTGTGGAAAAAGTATATAGCGTGTCATCCATATTAGTTCATGTTCTTCGTTTTCGAGGTGTCAAAACAGCAGAGGAAAAACTGGAAAAACCAAATCCAGACGAGATCTTGCTGAGTATCACAAACTAAGACAACTATACATGCAATATATTCCACACATTAATATTTATTTTCGGGTTTCCTGTTGTAATTGCTTCTCGTTAGCAGATATTGTTGTGGAACCAAGTATAGCTTCAACTACTCTAAATAGTTCGCATACATGCATATTCACCATTCACATTTGTTTGCATTGCATGAGATGCTCAAGCGTAACATACTCTTATTTAAGGCGAGCTCGTAGAGTGAAAAAAAAAGAATATTCGAGCCAACAAAAACTATTCCTGTTTATCATTGATGATATTCGACGAATGCGAACAACATAGCCTCACCCATGCTTTCCATCACATTCACTGCTGTAATATTTGAAGAGCACATCGTCAAAAACTATAACTGAATGAACACGGAAATGTTGATTTTGGATATTTGAACTTAACATTGATGAAACACATATGTACTTAAGCACACTCAATCAAATAATTCTAGCCACTCTGACACACCGTGAATTATTTGGTACGATAGTTCAGTATTTTACTCGCAAGAGATTTCAAATACAAAATATTAACCAAATTTCATTATGAACTATTTGCTGTTGACTCATGAATTCAAGCGAGTTGAGTCAAGGTAATAACGAAACTTGTTCAGTTGAATATGGACTAATAATGAAAAGTTCAGACATTCTCCAAGATACGTATTGGTTTATACACATACAAACGTATCCTGGAAAGTTGAAAACTACTTCTTATTGTTATTTTTTATTTGTTGTCAGGGAAAGGACTGCACTAGGCATAGTTAAAAACTGAATTTTTCTGATCCATACAATGTTTGTTAGAAGTGTTAGATGTTTTTCTTATAGCTATTTATTTAACATATAACAGTATCTGTGCGTGTCGAAAAAATGTCAGAACTGAAACCATGAATGAATATTTTATTCTTGAAATGCATATTTATCGTGAGATTTTATTTTTGGTGTTGTAGAAGGTATGCTGTATGTACTTTTTAACATATTAGAAGAAAGAAATCAATTGAAATACATATAATATTCATCGTAGGGCGTAAAATAAGCGGTATTTTTGCCCATTTTGGGCAGTTCTAAATTTGGTTTTGGGCAGTTCAAAAAACACTTCTTTCAAAAATTTGTCGCATCATAAGAACCCAAATTAAAATCATTTTCAACATTCTTAACGATTAAAATAAAAAATTTCGCGCTGCGCGTAATCATTCCTTAATCTACGTACAAATGACAAAAATCAACCTTCCGTTGTAATAATGTTCGGAAATAAATCAAATGAATTGGGAAATAAGCGTACTGATGGCGTCGTTACTCCATTTTAACGTCGTTCAGAGGTTTTTCATCTGATATTCGGTACGTGCAATAACAATTCATGATAAAAATATTTTTCTTGAGAACTTTTTTTGGACAGTTCTCAATTTATCTTATTTTACGCTCTGTATACATCGTAGGATTTAGTAACAATCTATATTCTATAAACCGTTTTTTTAGCTTTAGAATATTGGTATTAACCATCTTCATCTTTTTTTTTCGTTTTCATTCAGGCTTGGCGAACGCAATACAACGTCCCCGCGATGGATACAACACATTTACAGATGGCAGCACAACACAGCCACCGTTTAATTCGTTTTTAAACCCAAAATGGAATGAACCATATTTCGACAACAATGTTCCAAACAATGTGACCGCACTTGTGGGAAAATCAGCGTATTTGAGCTGCCGCGTTCGGAATTTAGGCAATAAAACCGTATGTAAACACTCTGATGATATTGATTGTGAACATGCATGTTTTTGTTATGATGGTACGGTGAAAGAGTAATCGATCTCAATCAATTTTAATTAAACCAAGTACATACTATGCTGAAGCCGATTTTGAAATAGTTAATCTATAAAAGATATTTTAATTACTTGCTGGCATTCATCGTACAATACGACTATGAAAACCCACATTGAAACATCTATTTTGTGTTTCAGTGATTATCATGCATTTTGAATTCCAAAAGAATCGGTCGACATACAACAGAACTTTTATCAATAATATTATTTCGAGTCGCCTCCAATTCATATTCAGTAATAAATAGGGGTTTCCGATTCATTATCTTCTCTGATTTTCATTACAGTAATTAGTAAAAAGAAAAATCCTCTTCTGTTGTAAAGAGTTTACTTTTGTTGATTATCGTTATTCACGATGATACATATAATAATGAATCCACATCAGGTAGTTTTGGTAATGTGTTTCAAAGGGGAATGCCATTAAAAATGTAATGAATATCGAACGAAGTAACCACGAAATGTGACAAAAACATGAAGTAGCAAAAGTCACGAGAACAAGCGGCTCGTAGACAAAAATGATTTCATGACACTATTTCAGGCATTTGTCCTTCGTATCTGTGTGGGTGTGAGTGAGTATGTGAACAAAATAATGCGTATGGGAATAACCGGTCGTTTTAGTTGGACAATGGACATGCAACCCGCGAGGATTGCAGAGATATATTCAGAAATTCACTAGCGACCAACTATTTAGTGGCTGACCTCATCAAAGGCATAAATAATAATAGCGTGGTGTTGAGGTAAACGAGCGAAAAGCCCAGACAATAATTGATATTTTTGATGGGGAAAGCCTTTTTCATGTTCGGTTTGTATAATATATTTACAAAAGGCTTGATGAAATTGATAACATTTGTCTTTTCTCCACAAGCAACAATGAATGGAAGCTCTGTTATTTTTTTTTAATTTTAGTGAACAACACACTACATTTTTGATAAAAAAACCATAATTTAATGCACTTCTGTATACCCACAACAAACAAAATATTTTTTAAACGATTACAGTAAAATAATTGTTCTGCCAATCATTTGAATGAAATTCACTCGCGGCTACTATTTTGACCATCGATTTGTTTTATGAACATGTTGAATTTTGATATGCCAAATATATTAAAAACGTAAAACCGAAACTGGTCAAATAAATTGGCTTTTAAAAAAAATTCACTCGAAACTTTGTACACGTATTATTTCCACTTTCTGCGTGTTTAATTAATACTCAATTATGAAATACCTCATGGGGATGTTTGCATTGCGTGCAAATATGCAGAGAAAACATGAATGTCAGCAAAACAAAAATATCACACGCGCTTCCGTTGAATATGAGAACGAGCTTTTTCGTTTGTCTTTTTTTTGTTTTTGTGGGAAAAACCATGTCGATACCATCACGTTTGCAGGGGTTTCGTAAATGCTCCATTGAATGATTTCGCAATTCCTAATGTCCTGCGGACTCATCGAATTTTTGTTGTTGTTGTTGCTTTTTTCCCCTTTTTTTGCATACTTTTTCCATATTATTGTTGTTGTCTTCGCCACTCGATGTGTTGGTGAACTCGACCTATTTTAGTTCGCTTTGCAAGTTTAGTTATTCGGTTAATTCGTATCGGAAACGAAATGCCTTTCTAATCATTATTTCATTATAGGTTTCGTGGATCAGACACAGGGATATACACATTTTAACCGTAGGAACGTACACCTATACAACAGATCAACGATTCCAAACGGCATACCATCGCGAAATCAACGAATGGACCATGCAAATTAAATGGGCGCAGAAACGCGACGCAGGGACGTACGAGTGTCAAATTTCAACGATTCCAATCAAAAGCTTTTCGGTTCGGTTGAATGTTGTCGGTACGTGTTACTCATCTGTTTCAAACACATTTCATTTTGCGATTGTAGCGTTGTTTCAGTTGAATAGACGCGGAGGTTATTGTACACAAATAGGAAAAAAAAGGTGTGAACGTCGAACGAAAACGTAAAAACGTGCATAATTTAATCAATTTGTCATGATGAAATTGCAAAGTAAATTGAAGCCACAAATACGAATTTCGGCCCATTCAAACGAAAGGTGGAAATTTTAAACGGGAACGAGCAATGGATACATTCCAAATGCATTGCTAATTACCTCATTAATTTGAATGGTGTCGAAATACTGAAATATTCTCTCACTCCTGCTCGCATAACGAATACAACAACATCGTGTAACTGGAATTTGCATTTTATTTACATCATGTTCGCTGATAAATTACAAATGAAATGCTCTCTCGATGCCTTTAAATTAATTACCATTCCAACAAACAGCCAATTTGAAGTGAGTCACTCGGAATTCGGTGGACTGAATGGCTGTTACACGAGTACATCGCATAAAATAGAGCTTTCAAATCAAATTGAAATTAAATATCACTTAATGCAATTAAAAGAAATGAATAAAATATTGAATTTAAAAAGGGAGCGACGGTATTTTGTACAAAACACCAATCGGCCAACGGAACACGTAGGATTTGCTAAACAAACGCACGTAATTGATTCAATAAAACATATTGTGTTGGTAATTTGAGCCGCACGCCACCATCGAATGCAACAAAATAAGCGAATGAATCGAAGACTGATCACAGACATGTATGAGATGTGTGTGCTTGACTGTGTGCACTTTGTGTACACAAACAATTCCATGGACCCATTAAAAGGGTGCATCCATCAGTTATGCAATGGCGAATCAAATTACATGGCGTCCACTCTAAAATGCTATTAGATAAATTAAGTACCATAATTGTTTTGTTTTCGCCTTTCTTTTTCCAAATGCCAGGAGACAGCGAGAGATAAATGAAAACGTACGGAACATTCTGCATTTATCAATCGAACAAAGCGAACATGCATTGTAAAAGCAATTATCGAGCGAAAGGAATTTCAATGCAGCTTATCAAGCATTGCAACGTTGAATGGACGAATGGACGTTGCTTTTGAAAATAATTTGATTTACTTAACGGGGTTTAATGGCGCAAATTCCCATTTCACTTACAACATTAGCGTCATTTACACTGACTGAATGTTCTGCTTCTTCGGTTGTCAGTCAGCGATAACGAAATTGCTTGGAATTTCAAATGCACTCATTTCAGTTCAGCACAGTTGAAATAGAAAGTAACTTTCCCTTCAAACGTTTGCATTACAAACGAATGCGGTTCCTTCAATACAATTCAATCACTGAATACACACTGTACTAGAGCACACAAATAAGAAACAACCATGCGATTCTGTTCTATTTATACTCGAATTGAATTTCGTTTTTCTGCTTTTCTGTTTGCGTCTCAAATAAAATGACATATTTTAATATTGAATTGTCCTCGTTTGAGAATGTTTCGCTTTTTATTTTTCTTCTGACGTCAATTTTACTAAAACAAGCAGCAAATGCTGTGATGCAAAAAGTGACTGGCTCGTCAACGGTTGGAATTCATAATGCTCTGCGAATGACGTCATGCTGAATCGTGCAACCGTAAGAAATGGAGAAGTGAATAAATGGAGAAGGAGAGCGGAAGAAAGAAAGAAAAACGATCGATCAAATCCATTGAGGTGTGAAATGCCTCGGTGGGATTAGGCTTTTATCCTCAATTTCGATATGGAGATATTTGTAGTGGTATATTTTACGCTGAACAGTGCGTAGATCCTCTGCTTAGTAATACTTTTATATTGTTCCCTTGAGCGTATTCTGTGTATGTCATTGCACCGAGAGGAAAGAAAAAACGGTCCTGCCATAAAAGCGGCGACAAACAAATTTATAAAAAAAAAAACCTAAGAAGTGTCAGATCGCATCCCATATCACCAATCAGTTGAGGCGTTAAGCATTGATTCCAAAGCATTTAATTCAAGTTTATTTTGCTAGTGCCTACAGTTTCAGAAGTTTATCATCACTACAGCTGGATTTTATTTGGAACCTATAATGGTCCAACACTTGACACACTCAGTTTTACTAATAGAATCAATCAATGCTATGTCGAAGATAAGTGTCCGCCATTGGGTTATTGTGTCATGTGCTTCACTCATCCGAAGGATTCGTTTAATATAGACAAGTGGTGTTCCTATATGAACAATGGAAAAACTATCGTCAAATGTCATATGTATTTCCATATTTCCGGAAGAAATGACTTTCTTGCCACATTTAATTGCTATTCAAAAGCAAAAAAAATGTGCTAGAATAGAATACCATTTTCGAAAGGGTCGCACCGAGATTTTGATACGTACAAGCTGTGGATTCTTATGGTTCGGGAATTATTTTTAATGCATCCTTTCATTCTGTTAGGATACGTTAGCGTTGAGCCACAAAAACCAGTGATGTATTTAAATTGTCAACACATTTCTCTCCCATCTCTATCTTCTTCATCTTTTTTGCTACGGCTTTTGTTCTCTTTCTCTCTCTCTCTTTCTCTGTATCTCTCTCTATTCTTCCACAGTGGTTGCGCTCTAATTATAATTTTTTTTCCTGCGTTCTTTTGCTTCCATCCATTTGGGGTTCGCATTTACGAGGTGAGACATGCAAAACCGCACACGACAACAGAGAGGCAAACACAAACGTTTATTTTCCACATGAACGATTCTTTGCTATGGAATTTTCTACTTCCTCAAAATGTCAATGACTCTGGTTGCACGCTTCACAGTTTTATATCGTAGCCGAGGCACAACGACTCATACTGAACGCCAATGGCAAACCGAACGAACTTCTCTCGTCTTTTTTTTTAATTTGTTGTTTACCAAACATGCATTCAATGTATAAAACACACACTGTCTCCCATTATATTCCGGATACATATCTCGTTGGTACCACATCGGCCATTTCATTTTCCTAGTTTGTGTCATCCAATATGCACTTTTTGTTCGTCGCACCACATCTATACAATACATATATACATTGTATATACATATTAACATACGTTTCCCTTTGCACGGATTTTGCCCATGAATGTTACACAAAATACAATTTGGCTCACCACGATCTAGCATTTAAGCGTGTATAGAAAATTGCACATTAAAAAAGACGATACGATTTCTTTGGTTGGTAATTATAAAAAAAAGGAGAAAACAAGTGTCAAACAGAATGGAATAAACTTTCATCGTTGTTGTTATTGTAGATGGTGGTGAAAAAAGATTGTCACCATTTCTGCCGTCTCAAAGAATCTCATCAAAATGATGAGAATAAAAAACCTACTAATGAATGTTTAATGAGTGAAATGCAGGTTTTGCTATTTAAAAATATCCATGTTTGAATATTTCATAATGGACCATGGTTGGGACGAGTTTCAAGTGGAATATTCAAACACCCCAACTTCTATCTCATGATTTTCCATCCATTTCCATTTGAATGATAGAAACTTTGTATTGTTGATGAAAGCCAACCAGCCATTGATTCGTTTTGTATGCGTCCGTGAATTAGTGAATGGGTCTAATGAATCAATCATATGACTCACTAATGGTTTGTACTGAATGCAGCTCGTTCGATACCGCGTACATTCAGTCGAAAACGGTTTGAAATAGCTATCACCTATCAGTACCGTCAAAGTGATACTTGTCGACCTTTTTTTTTCTTTTCAACTATCACTCATTCGTTGAGCTCTATTTGCTTGCATCGAATTCCGTTTGAATGTTGATTGCGCTCTGAAAATCGAAATGATGTTCTTTGTTTCGTTTTTGCTTCAGTTCTGATGTTCATTTCAATTCATATTTCGTGAATGAAGAAAATAATCCAGAAATTGAAAATTTTAAAATCCATGGCATAAAAATAGCAGCAAATTGACAATGCCTAATGATTTTTTGCCGTGGAAATAATTAGATAAAAAAATAAATCAACATTTGATTTGATCAAAGAGATTCGTTTTCAATTCACGACTTCAAAAATGTGCTGTAGAATATTTTGTGCTCTCGTATCTTTGTGTAGTATTTCGGTGATTTGCCATCCGTTCGTTCGTTTCGGATATTCGATTGTATCGTATTCTATTGTGTTCGGTTTTGGTGCTGAGTCGTATCGTTTGGATGTGAATAAGATTAATGAGCTTCATGCTTTATTGGATGAGGAAAACCGATCGAATTACATTAGCAGCGACTGCTGTGGCAAAATCTGAATGGCAGAAGTGGAGGAAGCGCTTGTTTGCTCTGAATATCAGTTTCGCTGGAAGAGAGATTAATTCGCTACAGTTCGAAATGTATTTGGTTTTCGATATCAATAGCGCTTCGAATACATCCAGTTTATCTTTAAATTCAACATCAAAGTGATTTTTTCCATTTGTATTGTTCAGTTGAGTTCATATCATGGCATGCGCCAAACTCAATGTCTGTCAGAATAGTAAAAGAAACGAAAAAAAGGCTATTCTGACTCTGACTGACTGACTGACTGACTGTTTGTTTTGCTAATTTCTCTTTGTGAGTATTTAGAGAATGCGCAACAAAGGCTCAAGGCCATTTACCAAGCAAATTCTTTTTTTTTCTCCATTTATTAGTTTTGGTTTGTGCTATTTGAAGAGCATCAAAGCAATGAAGACGCTGTCAGTTAACCACGGCAATTCAAATGGCCCATCCTCAAAATCGAACGCATCGACTTTCAATGCGAACCGATTTTGGATTAATCGATTTTGTTTATTTTCTTTATTTGCGTTCTGCAAGACAAAACCTTTCGTCCCATTTCGCTCGAATTCATTTCCCGAATCGGTGACTATTGATTGTGCCTATAAAAAGAAAATGAGAAAATTGGCGAAAAAGTAGCGAATATAGACTTTAAATGGAGTTGGAGTGATGAACAACAACAACAAAAATAGACCGAATAAATCTCCGGCTTGAATGCCTTGATGCTTGTTATTTATTGCGATGAG